AAGTCTGCTTAGCAATTAGGAAAATAGAGAGGGAGAAAGAGACCACCACTTTCTGGGTGTTCTTCTAAGTCATGTTACACACGCATCCTTGAACCTAGTGGGGCTTTTCTTTACTTCGAATTCATCTTCCCCACTTCCAGTCATTGGGCTTGATTGTTGTTATACCCACTTTACAGATGTGGTAGCTGAGAATGGGTACCAATAGATGACAGGCCAGAAGCTAAAAGTCTTCACTGAAACTTAGGTGCCATTTGTGAGATGCACCTTGTCTTTCTTTTCCTGAAGTCTATGTTGATCCACGCAGGCAGGTAATCGTCACTCAAATCACAAACCATCAGACTGCAATGGTTGGCCTGGTTGGCTTTGGCACCATAGACCTTCCTTAGGAACTCTTGTGCTTTCTACAAGCCCAATTAACAAGAATTTGTGACTGGACATGGCTCCACATACAGGTCAAAATTGTGTGCTGGCATTTTTCCACAACAAGGACAACTCCTGAGAGCTGGTTTTTCAAGCACCTCCTACTGTTTCATCTGCCTTCAGGCCAGAGTTTATTGTGGCTGCAAACCTAAAAGTCTTGTATTTAAGCCTCTCTGCTCTGTGAGAAGGCTGAAAGACAGATGAGGAAGGTAGAGGCTCGGTCTAACTCAGAGGCCCTGTGCTCTGGACCAATTTCACTGCTAACCACACTCTCAGCATCTCTAGGTCAGGTTTCACCACTCATCACACTATGGTATCAGTTTGACTTGGCTTATGATGGCCTATTCAGATCTAACATTTTGAGATCTCAAGATTTCCTGTCTTCAGGTTGCCATCATTCTAACTTCTACAGTACTATCCTCTCAGCTGCCTTAATGTCTCCTTCTCTGTCTCTCTCTCTTTCTCAACTCTCTCTCTCTCTAATGCAACAAATTAATGATACTTCTAGAAGAGGTTTAGAAAATCAGCTTCCAAATCTTGCCTATATTAAGGTCTCATTCCTTAGAAGAATTGTGTTTAGTAGTTAGCAAGTATCCCTCAAGGGACTTCTTGAGTAATTCCATGTCTACAAATCAGGTTAATCCCTACAGAACCAGGTTATTCATAACTTACATTGTCCCTGGAGCTAAAAATGCCCTCCTTTAACCCTTCAAGGGGGTAGAAAACTGAATGTTTGAAGATTGTCTCTTTCCTGGGGTGTAGTTACATATTCACAATGACAGAATTTAGAGCTGGAATTCACTGGCCTTTCCTCCATCTACAGCAGACCTGGTAAAGTAGAGTTGTCTACACAGCCTGCTAGAACAAGCTGGAAGATTCTAGATCCTTCTAGATCGCCAGTCCACCTAAACAGAGACACAGAGCCCAGAGAGGAGGTTTCTTTGATTTCAACTCCTAGGACAGTTCTCTTTTCCCCACCCAAGTATTTACTCCTTCACATTAAACCCTTCCAGACTTCACATTTAGTTGGTCAATGAATGAAACAGGACAATAATTGCTTTTCTGCATTCCCAGCATTCAGACTTTAAACAACAATATAGGAGTCCAGCTGTGTTTAGGATTATCTCTGTGTCAATCACTCCTCCCTTACTGAGTACCTAAGACAATCCTTTCCTGGGCTTGCTGGATGATAGGAGACTCAAGATAAATGTCTCACACCCCATGAGATGTGCATCTGCTCTCAAAGCACATCAACACATCTTCAAACAGAAGCGACAGGCCACATTTTTGAGCTGGCAGTTCTGTGACTTACAATGTAAATTATGTGTCACTAGAAAAACCTTCCCATTTCTCATCTGAAATATGGAGATGGGGGCAGAGAGTGTCATGGGCTGAGTGCCTCATCTTTCAAGCCAGGCCTCCGTTGACCTGCCTTAGTGTTTGGGCCCAGAAGCTGTTCTATTTTCTTGCTGACATCTTTTTCTGGTGCAAAAAGCCAATGACTGTGACCCCAACTCTGACCCCAAGTCCAATGGCCCCATCACATTTTGTCAACAGCGCCTCCAGCATCCTTAGCCTCAGCCCCCAGATCAAGCAATGTCATTCTTAAAGGGAGTTGGTCATGTTTTACTTTTCACTTGAAACCATATAGAGTATTCTTTAAGAAAAACTAAAAGTCACCATGCCCTTTGACTCCAGGAAATGCAAATGCCTCAAGATAGAGTCGCTCTTTTTCCATCCTTCGGTTTCTCAGAATTACAACTGAGGTCAACCCACCAAATGTTCATATACCAAAGAGGAAAAAAAAATAATACAAAAGAATCTTCATGTAAGAGAGGCAAGCCCAGGCTTGTCCTTGTACCACCACCTATATATAAACACTCACCTGATAGATGTCTCTGCAAGCAGAATGCTGAGAGAGGTGTTCCAGCTAACGAACAAAACCTGTTCTTGACTTGAAGTGCTGGTCTCCATCCTGGGCTTGAATATTACCCCCCACCCATCTTATCTAAACTTAACTGCACAATTGATGAAGAGTAAAGCCAGGTGCTATTGCAGTCCCAAGGTGGAAAGGCAAATGGTGCTGATGGCAGCACCATTCTCCCCACTCACTGAAGAACTTATCTGATATGCCCAGCTGGGGAAGGATAAGGACTGGATGAGAGGATTCAATTAAACAAGCACTGGATGCATAGAGAAAACTGTCTGCCCTACGGCTTGAGGGTAATGAACAACAGAGGGAAGAGCCAGAAAAGGTTTCCCTGAGGAGGTAAAGGACCAAATGCACTTTAAACAAGGAATAAATTACTCAAGGTGAAGGGGGACCACTGCAAACAGAGAGCCAGGTGCCAAGATGGAATTGCAAATCTGTGTAGTGGGTTGGGAGTACTCTAAGCCCCAAAACTCTGGTGGTGAGGTTAGAAATTCTTTGAGATCTTCAAGTCGTACCACCTCAATTTCAGTCCCATTCCACCAATGACTTGCTGTGTCAACAAGTCATTTCACTTTTCTAAGCCTATTTCCTTTAAGTTGTTTTTGTTGGGGTGGTTGTGAGAATTAAGTAGAGCACACAGCAGGTTACGTAAAAATAGACGTAACTCAATGTGCATTTGCTATTATCATTTCCTGCACTCTTGCTGGGGAAGAGATAAGGTGAGAGAAAGAACCAGAGAGAGTTTAGTGGGGTTCAGAGCACAGGAGTTTATGGATGCCCTGTAGAGGAACTTAGTCCTGCACCTGTAAGCATGGTAAAATCCCAAGCGGAATCCTCAGAAAAGAGACACAGTCAGATTCCATCCCCCTAACAGAGGGAAATGGGCCAGCACATAGTTCAACAGTGTATCTGAGAACAAGTAGCCCTTGGTTTTGTGGTTGGGATTCTTACGCCCAGGATATGGGCTGTGGGCTCAGATATGCAGAACAAAGATTCTAGTTGAAGTGAGAGATGAGATCACTGACCTTCATCATTGAAGGAACCTTTTTATGAGTGGAGGGCAGGTGAGAAACTCACCCCATCCTCCCAGGGTGCCTCTGTTAGCAAGCTTGTTCATGCAGCAAAAGGAGTTATTTTATTTTCCTACCCCACAGAGCAGTGAGAAAGCCCTGGAACCTTTGTCAGAGCTGGTATAGAGGAAAATGGAGAGGTCCAACAGAGACTTTTCAGAGACCTGGTGTGCAAACACATAAAAAGCTGTTAGCTCTTCAACTAAATGAGGTTCTCACTGCCTCATCTCTGTTGGGTGGAATAAATGGGTTTCTCTGGTGGCAGCATCAGAAAGATGAAATGGCAGATCACAGATGACATGTTTCCCCAGGTAGGAAAACCAAACCTCAAGAGAAGGAATTTGTCAAAATTTTTGTATTTGTGATTCTTGTAGTAAATATGTACATTGATTCTTTGCCTAATAAGTAAAGCAAGAAAAAGCTAAGCCACTATCACCAGTGAATATATTAAAAATATTTTTGTCCTCTTTCAAATAATGTAAGGACATACGCTAGTGTCTTCATCTTCTACCAAGAACACTCTGTTTTCTAGGTTCCCTTTAACTCACTATTTTCTTACCACTAACACCATATTTTTGCATCCCCTGGGGTGGGAAAAACGGCTCAAGGAGAAACGCAGCCTCTGGAATCTCTAGTTAATTTCTGCGTTTCCATAGACTTGCTTGACCTAATATCATTGATTAACCTTGAGAGTTACTCTGAGGGAAAGATTAGCTAAAATATATCAGAGGACCTAGACTAGGAAGGATGTAATATTACTTTCAAAATTATCGTTCTCACCACCTCTACCAGGCTATATGACATGGGACAAGTGTACTTAATTCGTCTAGTCTCTAGGCTTTATTCTGCCTGTGAAAGTGTTATTAATAAAACCTCCACTACCACCCCCATAGAGCTGTTGTAAAGATGAAACAAGGGAAAATTTGTAAGATGACAAGAATAGGTTCTGACATATACAGAAACTTGGGTCATTTTTCGTTCTATTCTCCAACTTTCATAGTCTTCCATAAGTCCTAGTGAAAGCTACCATTGTTGTGCACTGGTGGAAGGATGGATGTTCGATCATTGTATGACCGGAATTCAAATATGAAAGCTTTGTAACTATATCTCACGGTGATTCAATAAAAAAATTTAAAAATAAAAAAAAAAGAAAGCTACCATTGTTATAGGGAAAATCCCACCAGCTCTGTGGAGCTACCAGGGTTACTCCTGGCAGTACTAGAAGTTAGGCACTAGGGGTCAAACTAGTGACTCTGTACCTGCTAGTTATGAGCCTTTACTACTCTAGCCAGTGTCCTGGTCCCAAACAATCAGGGTGAGGGTTGTTGTTGTTGTTTTTGTTGTTGTTGTTGTTTTAAAGTACAAGAGGTAACTATCAGCTAGGGTCAATCTCCGCAATGAAAAAACAGTGAAGTTGCATCAGAGCATAAGACAGAAGCATTCTCCTCCCACTATACCCAAAGCTTTTAGGGGCAAAACACAAAGCACAAAGCATTAGACAAAAGTCGGGAGCAAGCCAGGAAAATTTGTATGCATGCAGAAGAGAGGAAAAGTCTGTTTTTGAAACCAAAGTATGAGAGAGGTGCACTGTTCCTGGAGGTACCACAATACCAGGTCTATGTATGGAGTGGGCAGAGCAAGCTCCTATTCCAATTTTCTGCCCCCAACTTACATTTAATATATTGTCCTGGAATAAATAATGTGTCAACTTTAAGAAAATGTACTACACTTGATCTTAGCCAAAACACCACTAAATGATGACAATCAGGGGTTTTTGTTTTGTTGTGTTTTGTTTTGATGTTTTTTACTTTTGGCTTGGGGGCCACACCTAGCAGTGCTCAGGGGTTACTCCGAGCTCCGAGATCAGGGATCACTCCCAGTGGGACTCGGAGCACCATATGTGATGCTGATATCAAAACCAGGTTAATAGCATGCAACGCAAGAGTCCTACCTTCAGGACTGTCTCTCTAGCTTTTGAGGCAATCAGTCTTTTAAGAACACTTAAGAGATTAGAAAATGAGAAACAAAGAAATTGTTTTCTTTATACCTCAAAGGAAAACAGAATAGTAATTTTCTATATCAAAGGGGGCTGGAGCGATAGCACAGCGGTAGGGCGTTCGCCTTACAAGCGGCCAACATGGCCGACCCGAGTTCGATTCCTCCGCCCCTCTCGGAGAGCCCGGCAAGCTACCGAGAGTATTCGATATGCCAGACACAGTAACAACAAAGTCTCCAATGGAGACGTTACTGGGCCCGCTCGAGCAAATCGACGATCAACGGGAGGGCCTTTACCTTTACCTTTACCTTATATCAAAGGGTTATGAGGAGCTCAGAGGTCATTCAGTAGAGCCATTCTTTATATGAGTGAGGCCATAGGTCAGATCACTATTCACAAATGCATACTTACCCCTACTCCTGCCCACAACATACTTAGGCAGAGGTCTTGGAGAAAGATCTGGTATTTCCAGTATCCAGAGTAGAGAAATATATTTAATGTGTTATTTTTCTTATTTTAAGGAAATTGCTCAGAAGACATCCTGTGTATCCTGAAAAGGGCACCATTCAATAAGTCATGGGCTTATCTCCAAGGTGAGTAACCAAGTCCAAAATCCCCACCATAAAGGCCCACCTGCTAGGGTCTTTCTGAATCTCCTAAACCAGAAGCCACATAGAGGCCCATGGCCCAATGGGACCCACGGATGTGTTCTATTTAGCACACGTGCTGTTTTTGATCATTCAGCTTCAAGTGCCCTATGGAAAAGAAGGAGAACATGCTATTCTATATCATCCTCTATGATTCCCTCACTTATGTTGACAGCTTGGTCTTTGAACTTGTCCTTCCTCTGTCACCATCTCTGTTCTGTCACATACAAATGACAGCCAAGTGCATAGTACTCCTAACACAGGGAAAGCCTTCATTTCTACCATTACCGTGGTACTCATCAAGGAATTTCAAAATTACCCTGCCCCAGATTGACACTTTAATGAAGATTTTGGCACAGGGCCTCTGGGCTTATTGCAGCATGATTCAGAAAAGAGTCCCCATATAAATGAAATAATAAAAAGCTCGTATTTACACTGGGAGAGTTTGAAATAAAGAGACAGCCAAGATTCTACGAATAGCCATTCTGGTCATTTCAGAAATTCCACTTTGCACTTAGATTAGTTCTCCCTCTTCAGTTGAATTGCAAAGAGAAAGGAAATTCAAAAAAAAAAAAAAAGAAAAACATGGAGGAAATTAAAGTGAGCACAGCAGCTTCCCAGTTTTTAAGGAACTCTGACCAGTCAGTGAAGATTTCACTTGTTAGAACTCAGACAGATGGCTTCAAGCATAACATAGTGGCTGAGAGCTCCTTCGGCTTCCCCACTTTTCTATAAATTCCAGGTGGAAAAGCCTTTTAGTGTGAATATGAGGGGACTACATAATTACGTTTGGTCATTCTTTGAACAACAAAAGATGTTTAAAAATTCAGACAATGAAACGTTAGTGGAAGCATTTTTGTGCAACCATCTTGATGTCTAAATTGTTTATCTGTTAAACAAAATTGAATATCATAACTCTGATATTTTATGCAATGCCGATTAAATAGTAGTTTGCAGGGTGTCAAATGCTCACTGATTGATTAAATGAGCATGATCACCTAGAATTTGTGGAGAATATGATAGGAACTTACAACTTGGAAGGGAAAAAATAGAAATTATAATAACAGAATAATTAAAAGACAAATATATAGGAGGTGAAAACACAATATCATGTGTTTTGTTTTCTGACCCTCTGCCTTTGAGCACTAAGGAAAAGGAGGGGAGTAGTTTTGTACTTCTGCTTGAATACCACCTAGGAAGAGTAATTTGAAAATTATTACAGAGGGTTGGAAAAGCAGATGATATGGATAATGTGGGTCTCAAATGAGGAACTCTACTGAATAAAGACTTTGAATTTTCCAACCTGCACCAGAAACTAGCCCAATAATACTTTTGTGTTCTTCTTCTCCCAGTGTCAAAGCGTATAAACAAAACCAAATTGTCTTGGAACAAGGATGGCATTATCCATGGAGTTGAATACCAGGATGGGAATCTAGTGATCCAGTCCCCAGGTTTGTACTTCATCTTCTGCCAGCTACAGTTTCTCGTGAAATGCGCAGAACAACCTGTCGACCTAAAGTTGGAACTTCTCATCAACAATGAGGTCAAAAAGCAGACGCTGGTGACAGTGTGCGAGTCTGGAGTGGAAAGCAAAAACATCTACAAGAACCTCTCTCAGTTCTTGCTAGAACATCTCCAGGTCAACAACACCGTATCGGTCAAAGTGGATAAATTCCAGTACGTGGATACAGAAACTTTTCCTCTTGAAAATGTGTTGTCCATCTTCTTTTATAGTAGTTCAGACTGAGTCATTTCTCTGGTCTTCAGGGGAAAAAAAATCTTTCCCACGGTACCTTTTCCTTACACACCCTTGGGCTAAAGAAAATATTGGACCAAGGCTGAAATCACAAAGGTAATTAAATAGTGCATGTCTTCTTCTGTGTCTTGAGAAGATACAGCTCTGGGATTCAAACCTGAGTGTTGAGTGAAATATCTTTCAGACAAAAGGCAGAGAAGAACCCTAGCATGGCGAATTCAACTCCACATGGAAATCACAAGGGATGGATTTAAGCCACAGTCCAACCACTAACTTACAGTATGCTCTGGAGTTATTCCTTTCTCCTTACTGGAACTCAAAATCTGTGTATCTCAAAAAAGGTATTGAATTTGAATATGTCCAAAGTCTCTTCCATCTCAGAAGACCTGGCTCTCTGTTCACAGATCTGTGAACTGAGATTTCAATCTTCCAGAAAAAAAAGAAAATCCCCACACCAGTATAAAACCATTGTAATAGCATCTGGCAGCACATCAACAGAGTATGAATTTAGAGGTAAGATTTAGGGTACCTTATAGAAGGATATGAAATAAAGTAAAAGGTATTAAGGAAAGGAATTTAATTCTTTTGAACCCTGAGTTTAAGAGATTCAGGGGTATACTTTGAAACCCATCTGAGCAAGCCTAATTCTATTCTATTAAAATTGACAGTGTATTCACAATTGACAGACTGTTTTTTTCTGCCAGAAAATTGCTAAGCATCAGCAAACCCTCAATCAAGGCACCATAATCAAAGGAGTGAGTGTGGTCAAAAAGTCAGAGAATCACCACTACCATCTCCCACATAATTTCTTTCAGTTACCTGCTGCAAACATCTCTCAGAAAATAATTTCTGTGAATCATATTTTAGGGGCCACAAAGTTGTTAGAAGAATGTGATGATATAAAAATTGTAAGGACTTCTGAGTAATGGCAGCCATCTCCTTGTTTGTACATAGATTTCTCTGAATTTATTATCCCTTACATTTGCCTATGACCTTCTTAGGGAATACCTTATTTTTTGAAAGGGGGGGGGCGTTGAGGTGTAAACCCTGAGATTATGCTTCCAGGGGAAAGGGACCTTTAATTGCTATGTTTAAAAAAAAAAGAAAAATTTTACATTTTTTTTCTTCAAGAAGGAAAAAATAAGCAGGAATTCAAAGTTTGTCAGGAAAAGACAAGAAAAGTTTTAAAGAAAAAAAAAACAGCAGTGATGATGAATGAGAGGAACTTGGAGAAGATAAAAGGCTAAAGGAAAATTAAAAGTCACTGGCTAAGACCCAAATTGCCTCAGTCTACTCCCGGGTCTCTTCTTTGAAATTGTCAGTAAATGCTACATTTCTTTTGAATATTTTCTGTGAATAGAATACTTGAAGGGAAATTAGGCATTAAAAATGTATAGAATTCAGCAAACTAAGTGGTATATAATTAAATTAAGCCATAGGATTGAGTGCTCAAAGCAGAGAAATAAGGGGCATGTGGCATTGGAGTCCTACCCTAACTCTACAGGACAAATGAATCCTATTTAAAGCAACTCATGCATACCTAAAAGGTTATCTGCACCTCAGCATGTGTCAACCAGCAAATGTTCTTCCCTTTCATAGTCTTACTTGAGAAATTGTCCATTTTTTATTTCTCACCAACCATGTTCTAAGAAGGGGTTCTGTCTAACTGAAAATCATTCCTCCTCTCAGTCTATGCTGAGCAATGTGTTAAAGGAATAGTGTCAAGACGGAAAAGGTAGAAGAAAATAATCATTTATAATTGGACTCATAAAATGTAGGGAGAAGAACACCTGGGAGGTTTAGTACTAAACTCTGTTACACTTTCAAACTTCACTGCCTCCTGGGAATGTTATGAGCAAATGGTACCCTCTATGAAGTAAAACAAATAATTCCTGTAACTGGGAGCTGATATGGAAACACAACAGCTATATGTCTGAAATGTATGGTTTCTTTGGTATAAATGCAGTCAGAGCTCACAGACTCGACCCTCTCCCAATAAAATGTAGACCCAGAGTATTCCCGAGGAACTTGTATATAAGATGGATTATGAGTTCAGAAATAGTGAGTTAATATAGGCTGATTACATTGGGGAAATTTATGTTTTCCTCCTCTTTTGATACGTTTTACTCCACCATCTCCAATTAATGTTGCCAGTAACTCCTTTATCCTTTTTCTCCCTTATAATCCACCTATGTCACACAAAGTTTGACTTAGAGAAGGGTCAGCAGCCCTAGGAGGGTTGATAGAACCAACTCTCAGATATGATCTAAGGAGAAGTGATAAGGAACTTACCAAGGCACAGACCTTCCTAGAGTCTACCTTATTGATGACTATTCTGGCACACAAATTGAACAAGTCCT